TATATATATACACATACATACATACATACATACATACATACATACATACATACATACATAAGCACCACATAGCCATCTTCAAGTCTATGCTGCTTGAGCACGGCGTTCTGGAGTCCTTGAACTCCTTTAGTGGTCTATCAAAAGAGCGCTACAGTACATCCCACAACGCTATGTCGAAACATGGCCTCCGTTTACATGGGCTACACAAGAGTATAGAGGGGGTGGGTTTAGGGGTTGGGGTTCAACCCAGAGACTCCAAAACCCCTTAATTAAGGAATATACCTTAAATCTTATTAGGGTTCCTACTATAATTTAAGGTATATTCCTTAATTAAGGGAAGGTCTGGGATCCTAGCACTTGCAATATGCAATGATGATCAGGATTCAGTACCAGGTTACACTGATCGTACATGGCTTTGAAACTCCTATAGTAGGGTTTAGGCAACTGGTGCCCCCGATATGCTTCCTGAATCCTAAAAGACAGGGGGGGCTTTCATCGGACACAGCATCGTTGAACTAAACCCTAAACCCCTAAACCCTAAACCCTAAACCCCTAAACCCTAAACCGTATATCGGTATATCCGACGTCAACTTGTGACACTCGAAGCCCTTGACCCCCGACACCCTCAACCCTAACCAGACCTAAGCTCCCTACCCAAAGGCTCCATGTACCTTTATAGTAGATACTTAGGCCTTAAAGGGGTCCCTATGTAGGTACTTTAATTTAAGGCCTAAGTATCTACTATAAAGGCTTATAGCCTTAGGGCTATGCCTAACCCGCACCAAAAGACCAAAACCTACACACACACACACACACACACGCGCGCACTTGCAAACTCTGAAGCCTGGCCCGCACCAAAAGACAGCACACAGTGCACACACAACACACAGAAAGCAAAAGCACACCAACACCAAAAGAAACAAACATAACAACACACACACACACGTAACAAAAACACATATAAGCCTAAACCCTAGGCCCCAAACAAAAATAGCAGCTCAAGTCAAGGGGCACGTGTGGGCCGTTGGCAGGTGCTCATCCGAGCCCAAGGAGGACCTCTGAAGCTGAAAAGCCCAGGGACTAACAAGCAGGAGAGATAAATATCATATATATATATATATGTATGTATGTATGTATGTATGTATGTATGTATGTATGTATTACGTATATATATATATATAATGTCCTCGTATGTCATACTGTATTAGATCAATCTACGATCTGAGATGATATGATATGTTATGTTCTGGTATCTAGTATGTTATATCTCATAGGGCTTATCAAAAACCTTGCCTCGTCACTACCTTTAACTAAATACAAGGTCAAAGGATGAAATGTCTCTCTTTTACGATCCTTCCTAAAAGGCTTCCACACATCAAACTGAGTAAAAACTGGTATCTCGGCCATCTGATTAAATGCAAAGGTAAACGCCTCCTTTCTGATATCTATCTCGACACACGACGCTGTAGTAAACAAGTCATTATGAAATTATTGACGTTCTAGAACATATTTATGGTAATATTCATATATTTCGCCTACTGGGTTTATACTTTTACATTCCTTGAACATGTGCATATCTACCTCATTATAATAAGATTCATGCAAGGGGTTAAACAGTGCTTTATTGGGATCAAAGATTGCTTTAGACATCCTGTTATAAATGTTTTCTGCCCTGACGCATATGGAACCATCTATGGAACTTGTTACAAGGTTCTGAGTTTTAACTTTGCATTTAATGAGCCTCCTATTAATGTAAAAACAAAAATTCAACTCAGACACGATACACCCACCAAATCTGACCTGTGGCTCGTAACCTGCCTCTTTGGGTTGATAAAACAGCTTGGTTAAATCATTGCCGTCGTGTATTAATGTATACTGCTCTTCTCCAGCATGCTTTCTAATGCCATCCAAGGACGTTACCATTTTACACTCTACTGGCGTGGACTTCTCATTTAAATGGTAGCCCCACGAAGCTTTGACGAAAATATTAGAATTTGCATCTGTTGGTAACATTTGCTTCAAGGAACTTAAACTATCATTTGCTGTATAAATGTGGTTGTTCTTCATTATGGCATACAGTGTTGAAATGTGCTGGTCGCGCTTCTCTGGGTCATACTGATACACCAGATTTTCAAAACATGATAAATACTTAATCGTATCCTAGGATGTTCAAACACCTTAGTCATATCGTCAACGCTAGCACCATTAATGAGGACATCGCCTTTGGCTTGATTTACGAGTTTTACAATTCTTTATCTGGTTAATTTGATCTTCTCTCTCTTCTTGTCGCGAATAACGGTATCTTGAAAGTATTCCGATAGGGTAGTAATCCAACACATATTATCCTGATAATGATTGACTTTAATGGCTTCCGTTATTTTCTCATACTCTGAGTTTAAAGGAATCTGGATACATTCGTAATACATGCTCACATCAGTGGCATCTCTAGGATTTTCACACTTTGGGTTAAAATCCGAATCACAGTCTACCCCATCATACTTTATACAATAGTACAAGCAAAATAATGTTCAACATGTATTAGGTCTTGTTGTATATTGGGGTCTGCTATGAGGTCCTTCAGCACTTTCCTTAAACAGCCTTTTACCCTCGTAATCCCTATACACCCTCTTTCTCGTGATGTCTTCAATATATTTAGATGGCTGTATATTGGCTATTTAAGCTCATGAGATATTGGCACTAAAGGATAGCCGTTCTTGTCAGAAAAGGATGTTCTCTTTCCTTCGTCAAAGATAGTTCGATATTTCTAAAACATCACTGAAACAGAATAGGTCGTTCTCTTTCTTGGGTTTGTCCTAACAGTTCTTGTATATTGTTTCCTCCATTATTTCACCTAGTCTGGGTTTATCCTTATTTTTTGCCATATGTCTTGTTGTATCATTCTGCCTTTTCTTTGTCCTTTGGTGTCTTGGCTGTTAAGTTTTTCTTATTAGAGTGTCTGCTGTTGTAAATTGGGCTTTCTTGCTCTAAGTATATAAATCTATGATGTTTCTAACTTGTCCTTAGTTGCTTTGTTAAAACGCCTTTTCTAGTTATCGTAGACTGCTTCTAAAGCAGTGATATTTCTGTGGATAGCTTTGGTCATTATTTACAAGATATGTTCATGTGTTAAATAAGTGTTTGAGTTAAGTGATTTTCCTAAGACTTTGTTATATTTTGATAGACTGTTAAGAAAACACTTAAAGCAATATCATCTATATATATATATATATTCGAAGTCAAATGACGAAACCCGAAGATATGACACTGGACGAAATCCGAAAGCAACTGCATTATACAATAGGTAATAATATAACAAGAGGCGGGAGGATGGGGAATATTTTGATAAAAAGAGAGCTTCAAGAGATAAATATCTAGAGAAAAAGAAAATTGAGAAATACATAGCCGAGAATGGTACAGATGTTGCAACCGTAAAGTTGACACCCGAACAAACGGCAGAAGCACTAGCATACAAGAAAGGGAAAATAAACCATGAACAATCGTAAGGTTATAACGATGGTTAATGAAGAAGAACCGGTAGAAGAGAAATAATAATTTGTAAACAAATTGTTGTTATTATTATTTTCTGACTTATTTACATAAGCGAGAAACAGAAAATAATTCATGATGTTGAGGTTGACAAGGCTGGTTTTGGTTCACGGCAACGCACCTTAGATGAAGCCATCAAGAAGGGTAAAAGTATAACAGTGCACGATGTCAATTAGTTTTTTGAGAAGAATGTAGAACAGAAACGCAGACCAGTGGGTACGAATAGTGTTGTTGCATCGCATTCGGCGTATGAATATCAAACTGACTTATTCTTTATAAATGACATGGAGAATCAACAATTTGGAGTAGGAATGTTGACGATTGATGTTTTGCTAACTTTATGCATGTTGTACCTATCAAGGGCAAGACAGAAGAAGATTTGGCAAGTGGTATCATAGAGACAATACATAAGATGGGTAGAAAGCCTAAAAGTCACATTACAAGAGCACACCCTAACTTCAGCGAGAGAGCCATACGCACGTTTCAAGAGGTGCTCTACACGAGGTTTGAAGCGGATGAAGAAAGGGTAAATAAAATATCCAAAAGATAGGTTATATTTTTGAGATTTAAAAGCTTATAATACTAAAATGAAACGTTCCGCTACAGAGATGACACCAAAGGAAGCAAAAGCCATCAAACGAATTTAGCCAGTAAGGCTAGACAAAATAGGATGTATCCAGACTTAGACAAGGGCGATGAAGTCAAAATATTCAGGTAAAGAAAACCTAATGAAAAGAAAAGGGTAGGTAACTCGGGTAAGAACAGTTACACCGTTGCGAGAACAGACGAGAAATTAGGACACACATATTATTTTGAAAATGGTATGGAAAGAGCCTATCTAAGATTTGAACTATTAAAGGTTTAGTATATATTTAGCCAGTTGTATTCATTTCGTTGCAATTCCTTTACAAGTCAAATCTCTTAACATGCATGAAACCCAAACAACCCATGGCTCTTGCAGTCGTAGAAGTCGTGGTGGAGGTTGTAGATGCTAACCTGGCATGTTCTGGATATAACCAATAGACTTTACGTCTTCGCGGCAGGTTCTTTGAAAGGCACAAATGACAGGATAGCATACTACTTGCAAAAACCAGGTTGCACATGGGTAGGGTCCATGTTACAAGAGCACTTTAGGTAAGATTGTGGTTTTTGATTGGTCAGTGGCGCGCATGCAAAACCTCCACCAGGCTCTTATTGCATCCACCGAGCGGCTCGGTCCTGCTTGCTTCATGTGAAACACTTCGTGGCGATGTCTTGGACATCTTTTTTCACGAGGGACTCGACTGCTGCCCTCCCCGCCCAGCTTGGCCCACACTGCCGTGCTCGACGACAAGGCGAGCACGGCTACGTCCCAGCTTCAAGCTTCGGGCGCCACTTGATACGATACTATTTTCTGGAATTCACTGTAGATCTGGACAGTAACATCGTCCGCACAAATTGTCTTGGACATCTGCCTACTCTGTTCGGCTGTATATACCTGGAGGCAGCACCGGCATTTTCTGGCGCTGCGCTTGCGTCATGCCAATGGGAGTTTCGCGTGCTTGACTTGACGGTGGTAGCCTTGCTGCTGGATGCTCAGCATTCACTGCCAGACCTCTTTCCTGTTCGTCGTCCTGCTCAGTCTCTGCGTAGCCAAGCAGTGTGCGTGCCTCGTACATGTTGGTAACCTCGTGGTAGGGATATTGCCGAACCCAAATAAGTGAGAAAATGCAGATCATAAGCGACAAATAGCCACCAATTGCGCCGATCAAGGCCAAAATCTGTGGCCACATACCTTGAGTTACCGAACTCTCCCAGACTGCATTAGCTATGGTGATAACCACAGCGCCCTCAGCCCCTGTGGATTCGGCATAGCGTTTCCACGTTGGGCAAAAGTTTCTCATATTTGTCGGTGCATGAAACCATACATAATCCAGGGTAGATGAAAAATGAACGTTGCTCGTCGATGCTTCATACCCATAGTTGACGCCATGGGCACGCTTGTACAGATGCATTTCCATTTCTTGGTCGTCCCGTGGAGAATGTAATCCACTCCACA